ATATAATATATTAGAAGTATATTTGAAAATCTAGGTTTCATCTTTTTCACTTTCTAAACTTCTCGATATTGTTCTACAATAATAATAAAAATAATAATAATAATAATAATAATAGTAATAAAATGAATAAAATAGAAGACAAACAATAGTAAAGCAGTTTTCTTAGAAAGGTTGGCTTTTAATATTATATTTAATGGATTTTTTCGTATCTTTTCAAAGTTATTTTTACCTTTTTTGATTTATAGAAAGAAAAAAGGTAAAAAGTTGAAGATGAGAAGAAGATATACATTTTTTATTTACGTCAGGAAGAAAAAAATGATATACGAATTTATTGTTAATGCAAGTTAGGAATATATATATATATATATATATATATATATATATATCTAATTTTTTTGATAGATAAACATATATATTCCAGTTTGAATTTTTTACGAGTTTTTGTTTCGGAAATATTCTCATGTAAATAAAGGATGTTTGCGTTGACACACTGATCTACATAAATTTTTTTTTTAAAGAAACATTGACCTATATAAATCTCGGAAATTACACGCTCGGCTGCCGAGCTGATGTAAACACCTTTTTTCTCCCCCTCCCCATTCGTTACCATTACTAACACGTATACTAGAATATATATATATATACACGTCAACCTACTACATGAATAATAAATTTATTCAGCATATTTTCAAGGCGATGTCTTTTTTTCGCAGTCAAAAAAATGATACAAAAAACATTTCAAAATAAGAACTTGTTTTAGCATGAACAAATTATATTTTCCCTTTTTTATTTGCATATTATAATATTATTGTATCGTCGATATAATATTACGATATGAACAATTTCATGGGGATATTTCGTTATAATCAACGTTTCCTTATTAAATACATATTTACATAATTTATCATTACAAATAATATCTATTTTAATATAACTGTTACAAGATTGTAACTTAAAATTTATAATTTATTGAAATAGAAAAAGAATGTATTATTATTCTATCGAATAAATACAAATAATTTCTTTCTATGATTTCTATTTTATCGATAAAACGACATTCGTTAAATCACATATACCTATAAGAATACCTGTAAATTTCAGATTTTAACACATCTTCAACACAAACAATCTCACACACATATACCAGAATATTCTTAAAATGCAATTATTAGGTCGAGTCATAAGTAATTTCCGATGCGACTATGTAGAATCTATTTTTCGTATTTACCTATTATAAGTCACCGAAACAAACGGATTTTCGATATCACTATATAGATGAGAATTCAGTTAGTCTTCTGTCTAATTTTTTATGTAGTTCAATGTTACATTTAACCATTTTTCTTAACCACTGAAATGGATAGTAACAAGTGCATGTACGATCTGAAATGATTGTATGGCAATTAGCTGTATCAAAATGCGCGCGTTCGATTCTATCGATTGATGTAAGATTTTAGATCGATACTCGTAACGAGTATCGAGCAACGACCACAAGCGACTATCGAAGCACTAACCTCACCTCTCGCACCCCTACCTCTCGTATCCCCACTCCATGCGCCCTGCTGGGCCAGCTAAAAGGACCATTCTTCCTATTCTACCATCGGACGCCTGTGACGATACACCTTCAACACTTTAGGAATATAGAAGCTACTAGGAACAAAGGTCTTGAGGATTCACCAGGAACAACAAAGGGAACACCCCAACCTTTATGGTTGTGAACGTAAGTGTATTCTGCCTCACAACCTTTAAGGTTGTGATCGCCATACGTGAGGTGTGCGAGTTTCACGCGAACTATAATTTCCCTCGTGGCAACGCCACGTGATAGATCTACATTGTTGTATCTTACAAATATCAACCAAGATTTTTATGCCACAAGGCTTTTCCCTGATAAGCCAATAAAACTTCGCATCTTTTATTGGCTCAACCACGTGTCTTATTTTACACTTGAACCTAACCCTTTATTCTCCACATCATAGCATATACAAAATTACCAGAGGACTCTTAATTGAGGAAATTTAGGACCCAACAGTGCATATTCGATAGGCAATAGCACTAAAGTGGCAACTGAAAAAATATGCAGGGTATACAGTGCAGGACTGATAAACTGATAGGGCAGTTAGAAATTGGTTTGTAGAATTCCATTCTGAAGATACGATCTTAAAAGATGAACCGAGTGCAGGACGTATTTCCGACTTTGATGAACCTTTTAAAGGTAATATTGGAGCAAAATACAATAGATACGTTCAACAATTGCAAAGAGTGCAAAAAAAAAAAAAACTCCAATGAAAAGTGTCTTGCACTTATCAGTCGCAGAAACGCCATTCTTTGTCTCATAAAAAAACGGAAGTTATTTATGACTCGACGTAATAGATATGCACGTGTTTAAGATAAGATATTAAAAAGCAAACCACAAGGGAAGTTAAAAGTTAAAGTTTAATTTTAAGAAAATAGAAAGAGAAAAAAAAATCTTCTATAAGCTAGTATGAGGCTGCTAGTATGTGTATAATAGATTTGTAAATTATTACCTGGTGAATTAAAAAGAAGAAAAATGTGAGAAAGATAATGTATGTGTCAAAAACACTCTTTACTCTCGCTTGAGTGTTTATCGAGTGGCTGTCGACCCAGTAGCATCTGAAGCGCGATTGTAAACCACCCTTACTTTTTTACCACCCTATATAATCCATTCTCGTTACGGATAAACATTCGATAGACTTCACAATTTATGATAAGTTATTACCTTTTTATACCTTTTATATTATTTTACATATATGAATTAAGATTTATTACCGTGACGTTCAAATAAAAAAAAAAAAAAAAAATAAAAAGAAAAAAAACGTTCATCGAAAGGTTTTGAAATATTACTCTATAAACCACCCCTACCCTACTTCTTTATCATTCTATATAATTCATTCTCGTTATGGTTAAAAACATTCGATAGACTTGAGAACTCAAAAGCTAAAGTTATCAAATTTTTACATCTTTTATATTATTATTATTTTATATACGTAAATTATTAAGATTTATTATTATGACGTAAATTATCATTTTGTTATCGTATAATTATTAAAAATAAATGATTAATATTATCTGTCAGAAATATTCATGATTTATACAGAGAATTGAGATATGATACTTTTTGAATAAATTAATATCAATATTATCTCTCTATTTTATTTCTCCGTTATTATTTATAAACAAAATTAGATTAATGCAAAATATATTTTCTCATAATTGAAATTAAAATAAATAATATTTAAAATAGACTAAAATATATCAAAATGAATCTAACTCTATTTACAGAGTCCATAAATATATATTATTTTAATTAAATTCGCTTAAAAAAAAAACAAAAAAAAAATGTATATAATCAAATCACATATTAATCAATTGATAATAAATAAACATTGCCAAATTCGAAATAATTTATTTGTATTTACGAATTG